AGAAGGAAGCTGGGTCATGTGGAAACGCTAAGGCTGAACCGGAACAGACCCCAGGCCTGGTCCATAAAATGTTGGCAACTAGTCTGCCACTATCCCTCCTCCTATCCACAGACACATGCAGGGTATCTAGTTAAGGTCTTTGTGCCCCTAAGAATAATGGAGTCACTAAATCGGGGTCCTACTCTGGAGTCTGTGGACCCTTATGGGATCTGCAGATAGAATTCAGGGGGTCCAAAAGTTGAATGGGAGAAGTAACAATTATTTTGATTAACTTCCAACTCAAATTCAGCATCTCCTTCAGTATTGTGTATAGGCAACAAACCATAGCAGAGTACAGCAGTACTTGTGACTGTCATCGGTCGAGATCACAGATGTTTCACTGCACATTTCATGCGCTGCATGTCTTAGAAAAAAGCATTTCATCAAGATGACAGCAGTTATTAGACCCACCACAAGACCTTGCCATTGAATGCATAAAGAAGCCCATACATCATTATATTACAGATTTTAAAAATATGTTGATAACTGCATTTTCATAAAATTGGTTTCTTTTATAATCCTGTGAGGTTGTTTTTTTTTTCTTTTCATTAAAAAAATGTCATTCTGAGAAGGAATCCATAGGTTTCACCAGTCTGTCAAGGGGTCCATGGCACAATGTACTAGAGAGAAAGACTCTGGGTCCCTGAATGACCCCACCCCCATCTCTACCCCACAGGGGATCACATTGGATTGTATAATGTGTGAGCTATAAATCATTATCATGTGAAGCTACTGAGATTTGGGGAGTGTTAGAGTGGGGCCCATTCTAATATGCAACTGAAATCTGGCTTCAGGCCACGGGCAATTGCTTCTCTGTGACCAGATTCCATGCCCTGAAGACAGCAGTACTGGCTGTGATGTGCTGGTAAACTGGGTCCAAACAAACAAACAAACATCAATCATGGCTGACTGCAAGCTACCAATATGATGTCACTGATCTCTGAGTTAGGAAGTGAAGCCCAGATTCAGCGCTCACCAGCCAGTGTGAGCTAAGTCCCAGCACACAGCTGCTCTCCCCAGACTAGAGAGCTGTGTTGCTACCGCCCTCCCCTGATTCGAGGGGAGGGGTATGTGTAGAATCTTGAGAATAATTGTTTAAAGGCCCCTGTTTAAACCTTTGTGCCTGACTCTTTCATAATGAATAAATAAAGCAGAATACCTTAGACGCAGTAATTTGTAAACGCAACAAGCTGTTGAAAAGAATCTAATTAGCACTAATTACAATCCTAGAATGTCCCAACAAATTATGCCATTGCTTCTGTAGAGGCATTGTGTTTAAACACTCTGAAACATTAATTAGTCTGCAGAACAAATGTGTGAGATAGGTATTATTTGGCAGCATCTGAAAGCCAATTATTTACTCTGGGAAGGCCTGATGCCATCTCTGATAGTAAAAACAAATTTATTAGCATAATCGTAGGATCGGGAAATCAGAGGATTATATGGCCTTCATTTCTGAGCTCTTTTTATCTCACTGGGCATTACTGCTTGTCCCATTTTATATATGAGAAACTGATGGCAGACAGTTGACAGAGTCAATATAATAGATTCCAGCTTCGGATTCAGTGAATCGTCAGGAGAGTATCATGCCTGCTCCTCAAAACTGAAAGCTCCACTTATGAGTCTTTTGTGTCTTGCTCCACAAATATAAACATTTTCTTCTATGGCGAAGAAGGTCCCTACAGCTACCGATTTACTTAAAGTTTTAAAGTGACATACTACGCCAGCTTTTACCTATTTGTAAGTGCCATATTTATTATGTTTTGCTAACTTTTCGATGAATTTTAATTTCTGGATTAAGCTATTTATAATCACATCAATATTCACGTCAAAAAAAATAGTCCAATAATTTAGAATTAAGATATAGTCAAGCATTTAGTAAATGTTTCAGTTTATACCAAAGGATAAATTACTAGTTTAGCTCATAAAGTAAATCAGTCGATGTTCAAATCCTATCAAGTTGTTGCTCCTTATACTCCTGTCCATTAAAGAAAAAGCTATGTGGCCCTGGCTGATGTGGCTCAGTTGGTTGGAGTGTTGTCCAGTACAGTGAAAGGTCTCGGGTTCAATTCTGGGTCAATGCATACACCTAGGTTGTGGGTTCGAGCCCAGGTCAGGGCCCATGTGGGAGGCAACCAATCGCTGTTTCTCTCTCACATCCATGTTTCTCTCTCTCTCTCTCTCTTCATTTCTCTTTCTCTCTAACATGTCCTCAGGTTAGGATTTAAAAAGAAAGAACAGAAAAAAACTATGTAGAGAGGACTTGGAATTTCTGAAAGAAGATTTGATATTCTGTTAACTTTTCTCTGAGACATTTACTTCCTGCTACACAGTAAGCATTCAATAAATATTAGTGTTTACTGTCATTATTATCATCACTAGAGGCCCATGCATGAAATTCGTGCAAGGGGCTCGGCCCTCGCAGCCCCGGCTTCGTCAGGAAGGTCGTTCTGCTGTTCCGTCTCATTAGCATATTAGCTCTTTATTATATAGGATTCCTCAGACTAGGAGCTATCATTTTTCACTAAGAATTGACATCCCATGTAATATATAGTATAGGAAAAACAGTCAATAATATTGTAATATCTATGTACGGTGCCAGTTGGGTACTGGAAATATCAGGAGGCACACTTTGCAAAGTATATGATTATCTAACCACTCTGCTGTACACCTGAAACTAATACAAAATAATACTGAATATAAAAATGTACTTTAAAAAAACTTAATAAATAAAAAGATTTTTTTTTTAAAGAATTGACATCCCAGTTGATAGCCATGCTCTTAGGTCTTAGTCATGCTCTAAAATTATTACTTTAAGTTTAAACAGTACATTTCAAAAAATGTTACTAACGTAATCCTCTCCGATAAAACTATTTTAGATATTTATACTCCAGATAGTACACATTTTTCCACTGTTGCTAATACAATTTATCTTCATCCAACTCCAAGCCCGTGTCTGCTTTGTTCAGGCAATTATCCGGCCATATCTATCTAACTCATTCAGCATGGCTTACATAGGAAATTTATTTTTAAACAAGTGCGTTCAATTCAAATTGGGGAAAAACCTCTGAATTCTTTCGAGCTAATCACAGAAATTATCACTCATCCCATGTAGCCCCAAAGATAATGGCACGTGCAATATCCACAGTTTTCCTTCTGCATCGATCCTGCTCATTTGTCTTGGCCCCAGACCAGCGCATGTCAGCAGTTCCACACGCAGACCTGCTCTGCCCCCTTCCCAGATCTATTGAGAATGCTGGTTACAGGCATACATTCTCCAACAGATGTTCCAACAGACTTCAAAACGCAGTAGATATATTGCTCTTTCCTAAACACTGGAGAGAAGGATTTTTTAAAATATCTTCCATTTCTCTCCTCAGCATAGTCATGTTTTCCTCTTTAACATATGGAATATATTTATAAAAACTGTCTTAACAACCTTGTCTGCTAATTTCACCAGGTCTGTAATTCCTGTCTTTTCTATGGATGGGTATTTTTCCTTAGAGTTGTGGGTATTTTCCTGCTTTTTCATTTGCCTGGCACTTTTTGCTTGGATACTGGAAATTGTGAATTTTACATTGTTGCGTGTGTATTTTGTTGTATTCCTATAAAGAATGTTGGACTTTGTTCAGGCATGCAGTTACGTTACTTAGGATCAGTTTGGTTCTTCTAAGGTTTGCTTTTACATTTTTTTTTTTACTTTTTTTTTTTTTTTAAAATATTTTATTGATTTTTTACAGAGAGGAAGGGAGAGAGATAGAGAGTTAGAAACATCGATCAGCTGC